TTTCTGCTCATCCGCCTCAAACAGTAAATATATTGATTTGAAGAGCCCTCCTCGTTCAGCTTAAGTACTTTAGGCGCAACCTTATCTGTGTTTACTCTATTAGGTTTCAAGAAAAAAAATGAATGATTTCTTGAATTACGGCGCTATCTTGTCCAAGAATTGATTTTAGGATGTTGGGAAGGTTAAGAATCATAAAAGTTTCCTTACAAGCCCATTTGGGTGGACACCTATCGTTGGTAAATTGCGCCGGCAGTTCTCAACATCCACCTTTGTTGCCTTCAAACAACCAAGGTCATTGCTCTGAATTAGCAATAGCCTTGAATATGTTAACAACCAATGCAAATGACATGCAAATTAATTTTCGAGGAGAAGGAAAAAAATTCATTCTAAGCTTTAGATATAGTGCAAGTCTTCACACTCAGGTCTATTCCTTGAAGTTATCCCTACAAAATTCTCCATCTTTCTATTCGAATAGAGTACATATACTCAACAACTAAGTAAACTCTCAGTTCGCTAACATCAAAAAGCTCCTCAGTAAACAAATCTTGGAAGATCTCACACTTCATTTTCTGGCATTTTGTTCCCATGCAAATTTGGTCGAAAACCTTGAGGTCGTTTATCAGTGTAAAAACCAAAAGTCGAAAGGTTTTTTCTTCTTTGAAAACAGTTGTTGTAGTTCTCCTCGCATTAGGTAGAAATGTGTTGATCAACTTCGTCGGCGAAGTGTAAATAAAAGTCAGACAACAAAGTTCCCTGCAACAACACTTGGGGAATTATATGAAAGGATCTTTTGGGTCCGGGGAACCGAGACTACTTCTATATATTCTGTGAAGCAGCTGATTTTTGGGGAGTAGATTTAGATTCAATAAAAATTAATGTATAGAAGCTATTCCTTATATTATCTATGAGAAATTGAACATGCGTACTATGTATTTGGTAGTTCAAGGGTTTGCAACGTTCACACGCCTCCTACCCGATTGATTGTTGCTTTTCTATGAATATTTGCATGAATTTGATTAAGAAATTATTCTGGAATCCCTTTTTATGGTTTCCTTAACCAGTTTTCATAGTGAGCATCTCATAATTTGTAGACATCGATTCATTTTTCTATATGCAGGGGATCAAGCTACCC